AAAAACCGCCATGGAAAGATCAATTTTCCACGACGGTTTTTTAAAGAATCATCGTGGAAAGTAAAGTTTAAACAGCGGTTTTATTAATAACCGTCGTAAAAATTTAATTGTCTATGACGGTTTTTTACAGAACTGTCATCGAAAATCTTGCAACCACTGTGTTTTATTTACATTTCAACGTCGACTGTATCCACTTCGCCTCCAAAAACCGTCATAAAAAACCCTTGATAATCATCGTTAAAAGCTTTTTTTCTGGTAGTGATCATATTCTTGCACTAAGAAAATCTACGCATCATATATATAAAGTATTAATAAAGAGGATAACATGAGGAATAGTGAAGGGAGGGATAATACAAGGGCTGATGCAAAGCAGGGAACGAATTAAAATTTCGACAATATTTAATTGTAAAGGACAAGAATTAAATTTAAGAAGGTAGTTGTGACTGACTGACGGTTGACTGAAGTTGAAACGAATGAAAAGCAACAGGCGGATATCCCAGAGACGCCAAGGTTGAGGGACGGACGAGTAAGTCAATTTAGATTTTTTTAATAATATATATGAAGCAATTGTTTGTATGATTGGAGTGGATAAAAAGGGAAGAATAAATTACATTGCATCTTGTCTTTAATATAAGAGTTAGACAACTAATTTATAAATATTAAAAATCAATTAAGTTAGTTATTTATAATAAATAAATGTTAAATTTTTTAAAATATTCTTATTAATCTGCATTAGAATATAAATACTTTATCGTGTGCAATTATCATAGAGACTATTTTAAAAAAATAAATAAATAACTATAAAAGACAAAGTAGATTAAAATCTTATATTTAGGATCAAGCTGAAATATAAAAAAATAAATTAGATTCCGTTGTGATATGTGAGCATACTAAACTGATATGTCAATATTATATGGTGATGACGATGCAGATCAATGTTCATGGGAAGACTCGCCGATGATGGATATGGATAAGCCGGGAGTGAAATGTCCTCCTGGTTCTCGTCGTAATACTCATTGCCGTTCCGGCATCAAACCCTATTCCAAAAGCTCCATGTGGTCTTAATTTCGGTCTTTTTTCAAATAAGTTGCTGTCTTGTTTTCTGATGTTACCCCATCATATGACTCAATTGACTAATTGAGAGAGATTAAGAAAATTACTAAATTACTTTAAAGTATTTATACTTATAGTTTTTTTTTTCAACTAATTCATCTCACTTATAACAATAATAACAAAGCCTTATCCTGCTAGGTGGGGTCAGCTATATGGATTGCACGACACCATGGAGCCTTATCCAAAGCCAAATATTTGGATAGATTGTTAATTGAAAGATCTCTCTCAATAACTTTATTAAGCGTTGTCTTTGGCCTTCCTCTACTTTTTTTTAGAGGACTTCATACTGTTTGCGCAACTCTTCTTACCAGCGTATCCCAAGGCCTTCTTTGCACGTAACCAAACCATCTCAATCGGTTTTTACCATTTTCTCATCAATGGCAACCACTCCAACTTTTCCTCTTATATGTTTGTTATGGATCTTGTCTTTTTTGTATGACCACACATCCATCTCAACATGCTCATCTCAGCAACTGCCATTTTATGTTCATGATGTTGTCCCTTTAAAGCAATTCGTCTCACTTATAAATTGATATATAATCTAATAATACACATAAATGTGTTAGAAAGATCATACAATATATGCTATAATTAAATAATTTGTAACTTCTTTAATCTTCTCAAATTAGTCAACTAGGGTTTTATATTAAGAATTAGAGGCGGTACCTTTCTAGAGCTGCCTAAATAAGTCATACATATGTTTTGCAGCTTTTAATGATTACTTTTGTTATGAAGAATAATGTCTTACTACCTTGATTTCATGGGAAGTCCAGGTAAAGATTGCTCATGAATTCTATATAATTTTGAGTGTACGTGAGACATATATAATTCTTAAGTTTATGTGCTGCTGTTCTACTTGAAATAAAGAAGAGGCCTCCTGGCTTCTTTATTAATTAATTATTAATTAATCAATACAGTTACTTCTCTGCGGGTAATTTTTCTTTGTTTTGCAAAGACGATGTTGGTGAAAGTAGTGACGATGAAGTCTAGTGGAGATCTGCCGGGGAATTGAAGAGAGGTAGGGCCAGGCGGGATATTTCTGAGTCTTCTTTTTCTGAGAAAGAGGTTAAGGGTGAGGAAGAAGACAAGGCAAAGGATTGAATAATTGATAATGGAATTTGTGGACGTATTTTTGCTTCATACTTTGATAATTCATGTGCTTTTCTTTAAAGGGACATGTGGGACAGATCGATTTTATTATATTTTGTTTTCTCTTGTCTAAAGTCAATTGCGCTGAGTCACATAAGATCACTTCAAAGTATAACTTTCTCCATTAGAATAACTTCTTGTATTATTTTAACATATTTAATTATTATTAAAATATATAAAATATTTAATAAGAATAAAATAACAACAGACGAGTGTATATTGATATTGGCAATTTCTTAAAAATATACTTATATTTTGGTCATATCCTTTGCCAATATAATTTAGTCTTTATTTATAAGTCAACTTTTAGAAATCTTTCATGGTTTTTTTGATAAGCCACATGGGAACTGACCAAGGGGTTCTAATTTGAAATTTTTAACTAATAATTTTTAAATAAAATATGCAAAGGGAGATATTTTAAAGTGTGCTGATATGCTTGGACGAGAAGCCCACATGGGAACTGACCAAAGGGTTCTAATCTACTAACCCAGACTAGTCAAGCAGAGGTGCTTATAGATCAGAAGGGAGAGGATGGAGGAGAATCTTACTCATCATAACTGATTTATTTTGACGTTTCTCAGGCTTCAGCTTGCCTGTTTGTAGTAATTGAAAAAAAAAGGGGGGTAAAGATATAATAATTTTAACCCTGATCTTATTTCTCATGTGTAATTTTAAAGATATTTTGGGATTTTCTCACAATTTCTTTGCTTTTGATTTTTATTTTTCGGTAGAGTAGAGACTATAAATAAGTGATAGAGCAGCGAAGTGTGAGCATACAAAATTACTGGAGTGCATTGTGCCCTCTCTTTCACTCTCTACACTCTCACAATGAAGAAGGCTATTCTCATTGCTTTTATTATTCTGGTTTCCGTATTTCTCTGCCTTCCCTCTTCCACTCATGCTCGAGCATTATCAGGTAACAACGTAACTTCTTCCTTTGAATTTGCAGCTTCTTATCCTTTTCCCAATCTCATTTACTGTGACTCTCTTGTATTGCCTTGATTAAGATTTATTTTGCCAAGATATACATATGATATGATGATAATATGCAGAAAGGGTAGAGTCAGTTACTGGGGGAGCACCAATAAGAAATAAGCCAGCAGTTCCATGTTCTCCTAGTAGAAGATATACTTCTTGCATGCCAAAGACGAAGCCTCCGAGCCCTCCATGCTCAATCTATGTCCGAGGCTGTCGACCACCTGGGAATTAGATATAATAACAATAAATAATTAGATACTCCTCCGGTCCTTATTATAAGACCCAATTTGACTTTTTATTTGGTCCTAATTATAAGACCCAATCCATTTTCTCTCTTATATTTATGCATTTTTTTCCAAGATAATCCTTCTAATAATGATAGTTTTAGCCAATATACTTAATTAGCAAGGATATTTTAGGAATAACAATACTTATTTATTATAAATAACCAACTTAACTTACTTCCTTAATCTCCTCAAATAAGTCAATTGGGTCTTATAATTAGGACCGGAGGAGTATGATGATAATTATGTTTCTTATATTTTCTAGCTAGCAGGGAACGTATGTAATAATTGTATTTAAAACTTTTAGGTACTGTTTAATTTCTGGGTTGTGTGTATATGTTTGTTGCAGCTTTTGATTTCACTTGTCTCTTTTGAAGAATAACATCTCTATTCCCGACTTGGCTTTCTCTGCAGGAAGTACGGTTGTATTTCGCTTACAGTCCGTTTGGTTCTCTGAATCGGAGAACATGGAATGATTACGAGAATTTGTTTGGTATATAATTAAGAAAAAATGATGCACAGGCATATTAGTTGAATTACAGCCAACATGGGAATAGATAAGAATAATAAACGAAGAGACAAAATCATCCGATCAATATATATATATATATATATATAATATGAATGTTTTTTTGCCAAAATATGCAATAACTCTGTTCATATAAATAATAAATTAATTGACAAAATTAATCTAACCCATATATGCAATGAAAAAGTGAACTTTTTATCAATTGAAATTGTGTTTATACATATAATATAATAACAAGTAATTATATATAATATTATAAAAATATAATCATATATAATATAATAACAAGTATAATGGAACTAAGGGATAATGAAATTTTTATTAATTAAAATTGCGTCTAAACTTTAAATGTGTGTATTAATAATCAGTTTAATTTCTATATAAACGGAAGCTTTTTTTTTTTTTAACCAGCATATATAAACCGAAGCTAAGCCAATAAATGACCGATAGGTTTATGAATCTTTCACCAAAGGCACTTTGATCAATTTAAAGAGGGAAAATTTTCAGTTAGTCCCTTCTAAATAAATTTGTTTTCCAACAACCCCCATAACATTCTAAAACTTCATTGCACTTTCTTTGACCAAAATGAAATTAATTGTTATGGATGAAAAGACAATTATGCCTTATATTATTTCGGAAAAAAAAATCAATCACCACCAAAGCTCTGGTGGCCAGCTAGCTGACTCCAACTTCCAGCACCGAGGCCGATTGCCAAAGCTCTAGTGACTGGAAATTTTTTTGCAAATAAGATCATTAGAGAATTTGAACTCATAAACCAAAAAAATTATAACTACCAAGCCATTCATTCATTTAACCCCATAATGCAAAGGAAATATATAGATTTTTATATATATGACAAAAACAAATTTAAGTATCCCGGTAAAATAAGATGATTTACAATACAAATTAGGTAATTTACAAAAAGCATATAGGAATTCACAACTCTATTTAAGGTTTTATGAAAAGAAAATTAAATGCCAAGGATTGAATGAACCACTGGAATAAGGCTTTACAATATAAATTAGGCAAGTTACAAAGGGTATGTGGCAATTCATGAATCCATTTAAGGATTGCATGAACATCTGAAATAAGAAAACTTATAAGACAAATTACGCAATTTATAAGAACTATATAAGAATACACAACTCCATTTGAGGTTCTATAGAGAGAAAAATTAAATGTTAATGATTGGATGAACAACTCAAATAAGATGATTCACAACACAAATTAAACTATTTAGAAAGATTTAAGAGAGATGTTGGTAAATGAAAAGACTCCCACAACTTGGCCAATATTTGATTGTAAATGAAAGGAATTCAGGAATGGTGGGTGTGACTGTTGAAAATGATAGAAGGCAGTGAATGCATGGGAGGGGCCAATGTTGAAGATAAGGTACGACCAAGTCAAGTCAGATTTTTACTTTTAAGTAAAATATTATGACCACTCTTCTGTTTTGCTTTAATTACACAGATCTTCCATCTATTTTGATAACATATATTTTAGTCAAAACCATTAATATCATTAAAGAATATTCTAATAAGATTCTTTACGTACATTTTTTAATTAAAAAAATATTAGAATAAACCTTGTTTCCTACTTTACCCCTCATTATATTAAATATATGGTTTATCTTTTAATATTAATATTTATTAATAATCTATTTAATATTTTTACTAAATTTAACAAATTAAGACATAACTTTATAATTTTATTGAAAATAAATATATACGATTACAAGACACTTTTTACTAATATATATTTAAAAAAATTACATCACAAGTAAGTTTAAATAAATCAACAAGATTTATTGTAAAATAAAAATCTGTATTTATAAAATTAATAAAATTTATAATATGGTAATCAATTCAATAGTATAACAAAAAAATATTAAAATATTTATTAAAATTATTTTTTAATTTTAAATATAGATGTATGATATGTCACTAAATGATAATTATTAGTAATTAAGAAGGGGTAATTTGGTCAAAATAATGGATCAAATCCTATGATTTAATGGTTAACTAACGGATTGGTGGATAGGAGTTGAATCTCAAAAGTAGAAAAGAAGTTTGTGCAATAGATATTTTGATTTTAAAGAAGGTCCATATAAGTTTCTAAAATAAAAATGAGGTCTTTGTAATTTAGGTTAAATAGAGGGGAGTTGATGTATTTTACTTTTTACTCTTTAATATAAATAAATATATATTATGACTTTTTAATATAAATATATATAAAGCAATAATTTTACGATACTATGATCGGATTAAAATGAAAGAAGAAATTGCTTGGATCGCAAATTAGCCAGCGAATGACGTTTAAAACAACGGTTTAATAACAATTAGGTCCCCAAAAAGTGTTTTTAAAAATAAGATACAGATATCTATTTATTTAGTTAATTGTCAGAGCTAGGAAATAGACAGGCCTGGCCCATATATATGGGATCAGGTCCAGAAGCCATGGTGCCGCAAATATAACCATTTTCTGATACCCAATCTTTATTATTGATCCGGCACTGGCTCCGAGATGTTTTTCTTAATTTATTTTTATTTTTTAAAAGAACTAAGTTTCACATTAAAATGTTCTGAAGTTTAAAACGAGTTATGCAAATCCAAGGTTTTAAGTATAATCACATATTCTAATAAAATCTAAATTTTAGTCCAGAAATATAAATATTCCTTAGTTCTCATCCTGGTTATTCAAATAATAATTTAATTTAGCCCTAGTGAGTAGCAAACTAGTTACAAGGAATTAGGATGTCGCAAGGGGTGATGCAAGCTAGGGGATAAATTAAGATTTGGACTACATTTTTTATTGTAAATGAAACAAATCAAATTTAGGAAGTGTGGTTGTGACTGTGCAAGAGGATAAAAGCAATCGGTGGGTGGGAGAAACCAATATGTTGAAGAGCATATAATACAAATCAATTATACTTATTTGTACCAGCTGAAAGCCCTTCATTATTTGTTTCTCTGGCAAAAAAACAGAAAGCCCTTTATTTCAATTGTGCTCCTCTCTCGTAGGCCTCTATAAATAGAGGGGAAGGTTAAGTGTAGTGCAAGCATATACAAAAGCCAAATTAAAGGAGTTATATGCGTGTGCGTGGCTGTAAATATGAAGAAGGCTATTCTAGTTTCTTTTCTCATCTGGGTTTCTACATTATTTCTCTTCCTTTCCTCTTCCACTCAAGCACGTCTATTACTTGGTAACAACATCAACTTGATTTGTTTTGCTTCTTTATGTTTTTCCCCTATCTCATTTACTATATGTGACTAAATTGCCTCAATTATGAAATTATTGTACTCCTCCTGTCATAAATATAGAAGCTAATTAGAGAGTTGACTTTAATAATATATGTAAGAGCTTAATCAATTTCATCTCTCATATTTATGATTTTTTTTAAGTTGATTTATCTTACTCATGAATTGACATGTCATCTAATATTTTATGAGATCAGTATTTTAAGGAAATCAAGTCACATTTGTTAGAATTAATTTATTTAACTCTCTTAATTTATCTAAAGTAGTTAAAAAGTTTTTGCATTAAAGATAAGATAAGTATTAATTAATTATTGGGTTAATACAACTTTTAGCTTTTAAAAATTTGACTTTATTTTATTTTTGGTCCCTCAAATTTAGAACGAATAACTTTTGTACCTGAAATTTACTGCACCTATAAATATTAGCCCCTATAAGTTTAACAGTGGAGTAAGATGAGTTGGCATTCTTGTTGCACAGTGTAAGTAAGATGAGTTGGTATTCTTGTAGCTTATATGGCAAAAATATTGATAAGAAATGTTGCTGCTCTCCTTTTGCTTTGCGTTTCGAAGCCTTTTCTTTTGTTTTCCCCATATATCCACATAAACTACAAGTGTCAGCTCATCTTACCCAATCATCACCACATCATCAAAATTAATGATGTTTGTGCCAAATCAGCAATATTTAACACAATTTAAACTCACTTGGATTGACATTTACGAACGGAGTAAATTTTAAGAACCAAAACTAATTTCAAATTTTAAGGACTAAAATAAAAATGATATCAAATTTCATGAATTAAAAATTGTATTAATAACCTTTGATTATTTTTCGTTGTGACATGTGAACATATTATTAAAAATTGATATGTTACATTGATATGTGTATGTAAATATTATATATATGATGACAATGCAGAAAGGGCATGGCTAACCTCGCTAGCGACGTATAGGAATAGGTCTGTTGAAAAATGTCCTCCTGGTTTTCGTAATCCTCAGTGCCTTGTTCCATCAATCCCAATTCCAAAAGCTCCGTGCGATTACTATAGCCGTGATTGTACGAAGAAGGAAAAGAAATATGTCAATGATACATATATTAGTAGTATTAGTAATACTCTTCTGGTTTTAAATATAAGATCAATTTTGTAATGTAATACTCCCCTAATTTTAAATATAAGACCCACTTTGTAGTTTTAGGAGCATTATAAGTAAATAAATTGCTGTCCTGTTTCTGTGCCAAGTGTGTTTACGGGTGCCTTGTGACAGCTTTTCATTATCATTTCACTTTTAAAGAATAATGTCTTCCCGCCTAGATTTCATGGGAAGTCGAGGTTAACGTTGCCCCTGAATTCCATGCACTTGTAAGTATGAAAAATATTAGGGGAAATCACAAATAAAGACCCTTGAATTAGCAAAATCACTCTATGGTCACCTGAATATGCTAAATTACTATGAGGGACCTGGTCTCAAATTGTAATTATGAAATCATGGTCAAATTACCAAAATACCCCTCTTTAAATTTTTTTTTTTAAAAAAAGAAAGCCACTTCTCACCGGAATCCGGCCACCGGCGCCGGAGCTCCGGCGGCCGCTTCCAGCCACTGTCGGCGGCCGGACCCTGGGGTCCGGCCGCCGG